TCTAAGTAGAGCCCATGGAGACTTTGATGGATCAAGAGGCCCGAGATACCGCGCCCAAGGCCTTGGCTCATCTTGACACTAGCATAACTCAATCCAGAAGCTTCCATTGGCCTGAACGCGGCCCATTCAAGAACTTGGAGAGCAAGCTCAAGCGGCTAAAGAGAAATGGAAACTTTCCTCTTCTGCGCGCGCTCAACTTTGCCGACCTAGACCCGCTCTCTACCTATATATACTTGCTTTTAGCCTCTTGTAATAAGAATCACCAGCCGCATAACAAGAAACACTTATTCAATAAAGTTCGGAGCCACTTAGGTGGTCTCCTTCTTCTTTCTTTTCTTCTTTTGCATTTGTATATAGCTTGCATGTTTCAATTTATATAGTCTAGAAGTAGAGATTTCTCCCTAAGGGTGAGGCGGTTTAGTCATATTCCGCCGCCTCTCTCTCTAAGGATTCATGAGACTTCATCTACTATCTAAGACTCATTGTTGAATTATGGATCCTTCCAATGAGGACGTGATATAATGGCCATCGAAAATCGATTGTTAAAAGGGGAAACCCTATGGTTCTCCATCTTTATTTATGCTTAATGCTTGTTGCTAGAGTAGCTAACTAGTGACTTGATTTTAGGTTGATATACTCTCCAAAAGCTTGTTATATCTCCGGACACAATATTTGATGGGCAAATCGTTTTAGGCTACGAAAGTAGACCTAAAGAGTTTTGTGAACAATCATTACTTGGATGTAATGCATGTCTCACTCTACAATGACCAACGAAAGCTGAGCCCATTGGTTTAAGAGACATAGGGGATTGGAACCACGAAAGTGGAATAATCCTTCCTTAGTGTTTTGAGTTCAAAAGAATCGGATTTTAACAAACTTTTCAATCGACTTGGCTCATGTTTTCAAAAGAGTTTTCAATAGTTCAATAATGTTGCTTGTATAGAATTGCATTGTTATTTGCTTTTGCGTGTTCTAAACAAACACAAACCCTTGCATCTTTTGATTTAGCTTAGTCATTTGAACTCTATGATTATGTAATGTGTGAAATCCAATCCCTTGTGGTTCGACCCCTAAATACTACAATTATATGTTGTGCACTTGCAACACTAGTTGTCTTAGGGAATTATTACTTGTACTCATCCCATAGATGCAGCGCATCAAGTTTTTGGCGCCGTTGCCGGGGATTGCATCATAAACACTTGCATAGTCTTGTTTAAAACTAAGTCTAGATCTTGGTATTTTCGAATACTAACTTTTTCTTTTAAATCTTGTGTTTATAGGTACTTGGAGATGAATCACAACACCAACATCCACTTTGGGAACCGGACACTGATCCCACACGATCTCCACGGCCGGAGTTACCAAGACCCAGCCGTAAGCATCGTGCCACATCCGTTCCCTCCCAACCGCGCTCATCCGACGTTTGAAGGACCTAGCCGAGACGAGCATCATTACCATCATCATCAAAACCGACCTCCGGTTTATCATCAACCACCTAGACCAGTGTTGCATTCACACCACGACCATGTTCTCAATAGGCGGAGAGATAGCCATTTCGATGCCGTGCTTGAGGGTTTCATGGAGAGCCAAAGAAGAACTAGCCGCGACATTGAGACAAAGCTAGAGTTCACGCGATACGAACTAGATGGAAGACTTGGAGAACTCTCTACCCAAATAGAGAGAGTAGAGTCAAGATGCTTGGACATGGAGGAAGATTTGAAGAAGCAAGGCGAGGCCATTGAAGACAATAGGAGAGCGATACACTTTACCAAAGTTTCTACCAAGGAGATGGACAATCACTTAGATGAGAAGATCTCAAGTCTTGATAACAACCTCGATGGCACCACCAAGAGTCTCAATTCAATAACAGCAGTAGCTCATCAAGCTAAGAGGGAGGTAGCCGAAGTGACACTAAAGGAGAGGCAATGTTACTCGACAATGCTTACATTGGTGGAAGGGCAAAAACAAGTGAAGGCACAAATCCGAGATTTACACATCTCTCTAGACAAGAGGAGCCAAGATATTCAAAGAAGAGCTAGAGGGCTTGAAGACAAAGTAGATGGAGTCTCCAAGGAAGTCAAGGATTTAACCACTCGCTTAGCCAACTTGGAAGAGAAGGTCTTGACCGAGACAAAGACGACCGTTCCTAAGCAAAACTATGCCGCGCCCGTCTTTACTATAAGAGAGACCGACCCAAGAGTGATTTGGGATGAAGAAGAAAGTAGAGCTGATCAAGAAAGAGCCACGAAGCTAACCACTGGAACAAGAGAAAAGATAGCACCAAAAGGAAGAACCCTTACTCAAAGATCTTCACAACCGCCTCCCACCAAGGAGAAGAGGAAGATAAGATCATCACTTGAAGAGATCATAGATGATTTCAACTTTATGGCGAGGAGATTCCCTTATGGTGTGACGTTTGATAATGCTTGCAACAAGAGTCCATTCATGCAAGACCTAGCTTGGACACAAGATTGGAGTCCTAGCTGAAATGGAAAAGATGTACGAGGAAGCAAGAAAGGGGATGCCTAAACCTAGGTTTCTACACAAGCTTCATGACCCAGGTTACTTCCTTATACATTTCTCTATCAATGGAAGCTACTTTGATGATGCTCTTTGCGATTCCGGTTCTAGTGTGAACCTTATGCCGGCCGAGATAGCCAAGAAGTTGGGATTGATCAATTCAATTGTGAAATCTCGAATGGATTTAAAGCTAGCTGATTCATCATTGACCGAACCACTTGGAGAGGTTAAAGACATTCAGCTTGATTTTGGAGGCTGCATAGTTCCAGCCAACTTCTATGTAGTAACCATGAAGGATCCGGAGGACTTAAAGCTTTTGCTTGGAAGATCATTCCTAGCCACAGCTGGAGCGATCATGGATTGGCCTAATAGAAGAATCTCTCTAGCCAATGTTGACAAGGACACCTTCTACGATGCTGCACCTCCCGGTTTCTCATCCAAGCGATTTCGCTACACAAGTGGAGGAGAGTGCTCACAAGTAAGAGGAGAGTCGCATGGCTACTTGATCAAGGAAGTTCTACAGGACAAGATGCACTTGGAATCATCAGGCAACAGGAAGTTCTTGGAGCCACCAATCCTACCTAACTAAGAACACAAAGGAGTCGAGCTACAAAGACTTAAAACAAGCGCTTGTGGGAGGCAACCCACATTTTCTTATCCCTTCCTCTTTTTTTTTTAATTTTAATTTATCTTAAACTATTCACTTGTTCTATTTGTTGCTCTTGAATTCTTTTTAAGAGTTTAATAAATTTTGCAAAGTTAAAAAAAAATAAAATAATAATACTTGTTTTAGGAAAAAGTACCAAAAAGGAGGCTTACATGGAAAATGCATTGGAAAAGCTACATCGCCACCAATCGGCACAAGGATCAACCATCTTTGGTCTAAATGTCAAGTATTGAGTCTAGTTTGAGTCCCACCCAAGTCCCACCCATGTTTCAAGAAGCAAAGAAGTCCAAGAAGGGCCGCGGCACAATAAAATCCGGCCATTGGAACACTATTGCACAAGGCAAAGATAAAATATGACAGAAGAACCGGTTTACAATATCATACAAACATGGCGCGCAAAGGAGCCACAACCGGCCAAAGGAGGATCTACATGCCAAACATGATAGACGAGGGAAATCCAACCACAATTCAATCCAGGAGGGATAGAAAAACAGTTCGGTCGAAGCAGAACTCAATTGGCCCGAGTAAAAAAGGAGATATCACATTCACAATCACTCTCTCGGCCAGAATCGACGACCAAGCGACAATGCTCGACCATCTCCCAAACGGCACGACCGAAGTCCACCAAACTTCACAGGCGACCTCAAAACATCATTGTGGTCGGCAAATCCAAAAGATAGGACGCGAAAAAGTGCCTGCTCAGAGAGATAGACGAGGAAGCTCAATACGGCCGAACGGCGATGCATAGAATGGCCGAAGAACTCAAAACCTCAAAAAGGCGCGAACACCGGTGGAAACTGATCCTCTGGAGTCCAAAAAACACCGAGGAAGAAGAAAGGAAGGAGACGATCGAACAGATAAGAGATGGCCAAAGGAATCACATCCCGAAGCCATTGGCGCGCACGACGAAAGATCTCCGAATCCACACGTTCAAATCGCCTCAAACTTCACAAGGAGCCACAAAATATAAGGTTGGTCGATGAAATTCATTTCAGTACAATGAATTCCTTACAATTCAAGAGATGGCCGATGGAGTGAAATTTGGCCGATCGCGAGCAAGTAAAATGGCCGACAATCCAAATCACGGCATTTACCGCGGCCACCGGCTCAAATCACCTCCATCAAGCCTCCACATCGCATCTAAAGAAGAAAATCCAGATTGGAACGAGCAGAATTGGAGAAGACCGACGGAAGACGTTCCCGGAGCCAATTTGAAATTTTTTCAAAGGAAAATCGTAAAACCACTCAATATTGGTCGACGAAATTTCAAGATAGGTCGAGGAAATCTTCACGGTTCGAGCTGTAGTCCATACCATCACCATCCGGTCGACCAAAACGGACCAGTCTCGGCCAAAAAGGCGAAAAACAGAAAACCAAGGGAGAATTGTCACATTCATCCAACCAAATCCAAAGCTATGACGTTTGCACCAGTCAGATCATCCTGGAAGCAACCTCATATGCACAACCGATCTTCACATCAAGGCCAAAAATTTGGGTACAATTTTCTACAAACTCTAACTTTTCCATTCCTATTTATCATTACCTCTCTTAATTGGATTTTTCTTACACCGAGACGGTGCAAGTTAAGTCTGGGGGGATTACTAACAAGTTTGTTCTTTTTGAATTTCATTGAGTCGTTTTATTGAGTCAAAATTTTGTCAAAGGATTATGACCTTATCTTGGATCTAACCATTGTTGTGCTAACGTTTAAGTGACCATTGAAGCAGTCTTGGCAATACATCTTACCACAGGGACACTATGAGTTGATCGATCTACCAAAAACGCCCACACCTCCAAGGACTTGAGAAGGATCCACTCTTGACTCCGCCCTTAATGAACTTAATCTTCTCAGCTAGGGGCTTGGCATACAAATGGCATGATTCCTCATCCTCTCCATCAAATGAAAAAGTCTTAGTGAGTTCGTGCTTCCCTCTCTCTCCCCTTCAAATTTAAAGAAAAAGCGTAAGGTCCAAGTAACCGGGGATTCGGTGGCAAACACCATCAATACTCGCGTCTATGGAAGGCCTATGAATCCAAGCAACCGGGGATTCGGTGGCAAACACCATCAATACTCGCGTCTGTGGAAGATCCAAGCAAAACCTCTATAATAAAGAGAAGGAGTTGAATAAAAAAATACTTCGCTACCCTAAAAAAGGGATGAGTCAACTCAAAGAAGTGAGAAGAGAGAGAGGAGAAACATGGAGTAAAAAGACAAGTGCCAAAACAAGGGGATGAGTAAGAGTCTAAAGCCGGCTGATCGATACTCCCTAGTTGAGACCACACCTTTAGAAATGAAAGGAGTCAAGGAGGGTGAATTGGATTGTCCAAAGAGAGGTGGGCCGCCTTGGAAAAATCGCAAAACTCATGGTATGTACTCTTGTTCTTAATTCAAATATTTGCCTTTACTACTTTCATGTGGATTACTAAAACCAAGCCAACCCGGATTTCCTAATGATTTGAGAGTTCTTGCGTTTTCAAACCTCTCTTCCTCTCTTAGTTTGCTTGGGGACAAGCAAAAGGCTAAGTCTGGGGGAGTTGATATACCCATATCTTTCATGTTTTTATCAAGGTTTTCACTATGTTTTTAATACAAATAATGTGGTTTTTATGCCCAAGAGGTAGTTTTCTTGTATATTCTGGTTTTGAGCATCATTCAGGTCAAAATAGCAAAGAAGAGTCAAAATGGAGCAAAAAGAGTCAAATCACCAAGTTCCCAAGTCTAGAGCACCAAATCTACATTTCTCGCTAAAGACCAAACCGGAGCATCCGAAGTACGACCGCATATTCATGCCTTCCCGACGTCCAAAAGTCATGTTCTTATATGGAAAGATAGATATTTGAGTCATGACCCGCGGCGAAGTGGAAAGAGGTCATTTGGATCACTCGTTGGACCGGAACTTATTTTCTACCAAGACATGTCCGACGAGCGCCTAAGTAGAGCCCATGGAGACTTTGATGGATCAAGAGGCCCGAGATACCGCGCCCAAGGCCTTGGCTCATCTTGACACTAGCATAACTCAATCCAGAAGCTTCCATTGGCCTGAACACGGCCCATTCAAGAACTTGGAGAGCAAGCTCAAGCGGCTAAAGAGAAATGGAAACTTTCCTCTTCTGCGCGCGCTCAACTTTGCCGACCTAGACCCGCTCTCTACCTATATATACTTGCTTTTAGCCTCTTGTAATAAGAATCACCAGCCGCATAACAAGAAACACTTATTCAATAAAGTTCGGAGCCACTTAGGTGGTCTCCTTCTTCTTTCTTTTCTTCTTTTGCATTTGTATATAGCTTGCATGTTTCAATTTATATAGTCTAGAAGTAGAGATTTCTCCCTAAGGGTGAGGCGGTTTAGTCCATATTCCGCCGCCTCTCTCTCTAAGGATTCATGAGACTTCATCTACTATCTAAGACTCATTGTTGAATTATGGATCCTTCCAATGAGGACGTGATATAATGGCCATCTTGAATCGATTGTTAAAAGGGGAAACCCTATGGTTCTCCATCTTTATTTATGCTTAATGCTTGTTGCTAGAGTAGCTAACTAGTGACTTGATTTTAGGTTGATATACTCTCCAAAAGCTTGTTATATCTCCGGACACAATATTTGATGGGCAAATCGTTTTAGGCTACGAAAGTAGACCTAAAGAGTTTTGTGAACAATCATTACTTGGATGTAATGCATGTCTCACTCTACAATGACCAACGAAAGCTGAGCCCATTGGTTTAAGAGACATAGGGGATTGGAACCACGAAAGTGGAATAATCCTTCCTTAGTGTTTTGAGTTCAAAAGAATCGGATTTTAACAAACTTTTCAATCGACTTGGCTCATGTTTTCAAAAGAGTTTTCAATAGTTCAATAATGTTGCTTGTATAGAATTGCATTGTTATTTGCTTTTGCGTGTTCTAAACAAACACAAACCCTTGCATCTTTTGATTTAGCTTAGTCATTTAAACTCTATGATTATGTAATGTGTGAAATCCAATCCCTTGTGGTTCGACCCCTAAATACTACAATTATATGTTGTGCACTTGCAACACTAGTTGTCTTAGGGAATTATTACTTGTACTCATCCCATAAGATGCAGCGCAATCAAAGAACTCCCCATGTTCCAAGAGCACTACAATGCTCTCTTCTCCATGGACTTTGTGGAAACAAGATACCCACATTATGACACAATGAGGGCCCTTGTAATCTTTGAGGATGTGGAGTTGGTACTCAAGAACATGCACTTGGCCAAATTCTTCTGTCACCGCTTGGCATCGGTGAGGTATCACCAGTATGATGAGCTCGATCGAGCTGAGTTGGACCAAGGCTGGGGATGGATTACTTTCCTAGCTAAAGGAGAGAGGAAGATGGTAACCTTCAGGCAGCTAGAGATACTCTTTGGTTTCACTTATGGGGAAGGAAACCTATGGGATATCAAGGAGAATGAGCTCCAACGAGTATGGACTACAATCGCTGAAGCAGGGTACTCTTCTTCATGGTCCAAGGCTTCTCAAATCAGGAGCCCAGTGCTGAGGTATGTGCACAAGGCACTAGCCAACACTTTCTTTGCAAGGAAAGCCACTGGGACAATCAATGAAGGAGAATTGAAACTCCTTGACATGGGGATTAAGCCTATCATCTCACGCACAAGGGTGGGAAGAAGATCAGAGGAGACAGGGCACACTCAGGAAACCTCATGCCTCTCCTTGAGAAGCTACTCACCTACAAGACCACAACATACAACACTCGATTTCAGCAAGGAAGAAAGCTAAGTGTTGGAGGAATCATTACACCAATCCTTTGTGCGGCTGGGGTCCAAATAAACAAGAAGAAGTCAACACCAGCTGGGTGGATGGACATCAAGTTTTGCAAGATCAACCTTCTCATAGATTACAAGGAATTGGATGGGAGGTACCAATTCAAGTTCACACATCCATGGCTGGCCCTTCCAAGCTGCTCTTCCCCAACTCTGAGCTCACAAACAGTCCTCATGGGTGAGAACATTGATTTCAGACCCCCATTGTATAAATTAGTTGGGCATGAGGACGAGTTGCGAGAAGAGGAGCCTAAACTCGATCGAGCTGAGTATCGCGCTGAGGTTCAAGCTGAGGATAGAGCCCAAGTGAATGAGGAGTTAGGTGAGCCTGAGTGTTACTATTTTGAGGAGTATGAGGCTCCAAGGATGAACCCCTCTGTTGTGGCTGCTCACAAGAGGATTGGACTTCTCCAAAGGTTCAACAAGTGGCAAGGGAAAGCCATGGACAAAATGCAAAAGTCCATGGACAAGATGGTGAGCAAGATCAAGAGTTTGGAGAAGAAGGTCTCTGGTTCTTCAAGCAAGAAGAAGAAGACACCCATGACTCCTACATTCCCTAGGAGTAGATCTCTCCTCACCATTCCAAGGAGGCTTCCTACCCAAGAGCCTCGTCATTTGAACCAAGGGAAGCAGGTGACAACACACAGAGAAGGAGGAAGAGTTCCAAGGGACAATGCTCCAACTCTATCAGCGGACTCGATCTAGCAGACGGTCGAGTTGACCTGGGAGAGCCTTCATTCGAGAACCCTGGGTTCGAGCACGATCCAGCACCTTACCAGGACTATCCTCAGAGTCATTGGACCCCTTACAACCGCTTCGAGCGAACCAGGCTCCACCAGGGCCAAGGAAGCCACACCCACTTCGAGGATGAAGAGGTGGTAGAAGAGGAAGAGCAAGCTCGACCGAGCTGCACGAATGTGGTCGAATGGAGTGCTCCTGATGGCCGCCTGCCCTCTCCAGACCACGACCTTGCCTCCCAGTTCTTTGGGGGGCACTGAGATATCAAACATCAACCCTTGTAAATACCATCTCATATTTTCTTGCATTTGTTTTTATTTCTCTTGGTTTTGCCCTCTTGAATCTTTCACTAAATTTCTCTCACACAAGGGACTGTGTGATTTAAGTCTGGGGGAGGGTTCAATAGATGATTTAACCTTGTTTTCTTTGTTCTTAGTTTTTCATACATCCTTTTTGCATAGAAAAACCAAAAAAATCATAAAATTTTCAAAAACTCCAAAACTATTTTGTGGTGACCTCCTTGGATAGACTTGTTGTGGCTTGGATTGATATTGGCCTCCTTGGTACGCTCCTTGATTAGGGTAGACTTGATCGCTTGGATTCTACACATTGTTGCTCCGGTATGATAGGTTTGGATGAGCTCGGAATGCTTGATTGAATCCTCTATTCCCATAGTTTCCTCCAATATAGTTGACCTCCTCTATGTTCTCTTCAGTGGCATCTCCCATGAAGTCCATAAGAGTGTCTTCATTTGTGGCTAGGGCATCTTCAATGGCGTGAACTCCTTGCCGGCTTTTAAGTAGTTGTGAGACCATGTTCTTTAGCTCCGAGATTTGAGCTGATTCTGATGAGCTCGTGGTCTTCACGCTTCTATTGTAGTCAGGGCATGCATTGGCATCACTAGTGATATACCTCTATTTTACATGCTTTTTATACTATTTTAGTATTTTTTTTCTAATGGTTTTTGAGGTTTTCTATCTCAAAAGGTATTTTTACTCTGTTTATAGTGTCTAGAGTCTAAACAGGTGAAATGATGCATTTTGGAGCAAAACCATAGGATTAGATTTGGCGCTTCAAGCCGCTCCATACACAAGCATCAACTCTAAGAGGGCCCAGAAAAAGATCTACTCAATGGATTTCATCAAAACCAGTTCCCTGCGTGCTCTGAGTGAGTTAACTTTCCAACGCAACTGGAACGGCCTCATTTGGATGAGTAGAAAAGGAGTTATAACCAAAAGAGTGAAGACTGGTCCAGACGGCTCTATCGAGAAACGCGCCAAGCCGGCAGACCGGCTGGCCGAGAAACGAATGTTCCGCGGTCGGCCAAAATCATCCGTCCGTCTGAAGTCTCGGCCAAAGTTCAAACCATCCGGCCGATCACGCATCACGACCCGGGAAACAATGTCCCGCGGTCGGCCAAGCCACGCCACTCAAGCCATGCCGCGCACCATGCCGCGCGAGCCGGAACAAGCCTCGCGGCCGCGCACCTAACTCGCGTACCACGGCCGATGCGCCGTCCGAGCCGGGAAGAACGTCCGCGTCCGGCCGAGAAACATCGGCCAATCTTCACCCGTCCGACCACAGCGGCCGACCGAGAAACCGTCCGGCCACGACCGTTCCGACCGCCCACGACCACGACCCGATTGTCCGGCCGAACGCCGTCCCGACCGACCGTCCGAACGCCGCGGTCGACCCACTTTTATAGCTTTTTAGCCTCTTGTGAAAGAGAGCCGCCCTTGTATTTCGATTTCCTACTCTAAGTTTTATTGCAATCATGTTTTCTTCATCTCTATGTGTGTTTGCTTTGATCATGTCTGAGTAATCCACTAGTTAGGTTGCTAGGGTTACTATTCAATGAGTTGCTTGCATGATCTTTGATTTCGATGATTAGCTAGGGATTATATTAGAGTCTTTGTCTCGTCTTGTGCACTTAACTAATGCTGATTGCTTTACCGCGCATCTAGTAATCCGATCTTAGGTTGATTTGAGCCTCGACAGTGTTGTATCATTCGCCGGACATATTCTTTGACAAGCTAGGTTTCTTAGACTGCGAAAGTTGATCTACTATAATCTAGTGAACTGTATCAGAACCTATTCATTCTAAAGCTTGATTTAATCACCTAGGGACATACCAAAAGTTTAGCGACTAGGTAGATTAACAAAGGAGCCGGAGCCTCGAAAGTGGAATGGTTTTATATTCGTGATCTGTGTTCTAGACGGTTCTTAATATCCCAATATCCCTAATCAATTCATCTATCATTGTTTCATTGATCATTGCTTGCTTCTCTGCGATAGCCCCTATGACCTAGCGCTTTTCCTTATTGATTTACAACCTCGTTATACTTGCTAGTTCGGTTCACCATTACAACCTCAATCATACTTTTGTTTTAGCTTGATCCAAAATCCATAGTTTCAAAGTGTACTCAATAGCCAGTCCTTGTGTTCGATACCCATACTTCCGCGATCTGTGCACTTGCAGAGGTCTAGGAGTTTGGTAAAACCTGACTCCATCAAGTTTTTGGCGCCGTTGCCGGGGACTGCAGCAGTACCTTTGGAACTCGACTAGGATCTAGTCTAGAACCTTTTCCTGTTTTGCTTCTTTTGCTTTTGAATTTTCAGTTTTTGATTTCTTTTCTTTGATTTTTGCTTTTGTTTTTGTTTTTCCCTTTTGATTTAGTTTGTTTCCTAAGACTCTTTTCAGGTGCATGACTAGGAGGTCCAACAAGGACAACCTAGTTGAACATCCAGAGATAGACAAGCTTGAGAAGCACTTAGGAAGCAAAAAGCCCAAGAGATGGCCGACGAAGCAGCTCGCGCTCACGCCGCTGAAGTGGCGCGCGCTCAAGAAGAAGGAAGAGATCCACCTCCTCCTCCTAATCCACAAGACCCTGCTGGAGATGTGAATGCAACCTCAAGCTGGAGCACCTACAATCGGAGACTATGACTCTGCCGATGCTTTCTTCATGGATAGAAACCCTATCCATCCACCACTTCCTGCAAGGAATGACTATGAGATCAAGCCTCAGATCATAGCATTGGTTAGACAGA